AAGTAAGAACAAATTGAGCAAGGCCCTTAACCCCCAGCTTCCTGGGCACAGCCATGAGTGGCAGTCCTTCATGGACAACTTACTTACAAAGAGCAAGTTGAGGGAGACCTAAAAGGCAGTTTCCCCATGGGGACTTGCAGTCAAATATAAGAACATTGTTAAACAGCTTTAAGTTACATTTTCATGTTGAGTTAACTTAAATATATAAGTACACTTAAAAAAAGTGAACAAGTGAATGTTGGGAGATATTAAAAAAAATGTTAATTGATCTCAAAATGTATAAACAGGGTAACTTGGGTATTTTAAGTAAGAACAAAATATTTTGCATGAGTACAACAAACTCAAAACTAGATTTTTCTGTTTACTTAAAACTGGAAATTTCATAACTTAAAAAATTTGATGTAACTTATTCGGGATTACAGTGCAGTATATTGTTAATTTTACTGCAATAAACCATATTTTCATATGTTTCTAACTGTGAAATGTAAGGTCTTACTCTGTAAAACTAATTACGGTTTTTCACTGTAAATTCTAAGGTTATCGCATGTTTTGTGGAATATGGTTTTATCCGGTAGCATTTATACAGAATTTTACTGTTAAATCTACGGACATTTTTTACAGTGCAGTAAGATGGCTGACGACTGAAGTGGAAACTATTTCATTGGTCTGAATATTGTCAAGGGAGGATTCACATATAACGTTTACATACTATTTTCACAAACATTGTTAATAGTACAGAGTACCACTAAAGATGTGCAGGTTGTATATTTGGTTGTGTTTTTAAATGTTTTCTTTTCCAGGTTATACAGCTGTAATCTCACAGATAAATGCTATGAGGTGCTGGCTTCAGCTCTCAGATCAAACTCCTCACACCTGAGAGAGCTGGACCTGAGTGACAATGACCTGCAGGATTCAGGAGTGAAGCTGCTCTCTACTGAACTGGCGAATCCACACTGTAAACTGAAGATACTGAGGTCAGTGTTTTTTGACTGTTCAAATGCTAAATTTGTACTTTAATACAAAGTGTGACGGCTGCAAGGCAAATCAGACAAGCGAACCAGTGCACTCACACCACTTCATTCCCAGTAAGCAGGCACAGATTTTGTGATGGCCGGCAAGTACAGAGGAGGCAGACCCCGTAATGCGGTAGCGAACAGGTTTAATAAGCAATCCGGGAATGAACACAGCCAAAGGGGAAATCCAAAATCGTAGTTGGAGGGCAGGCAAGAGGTCGGTGTCCGGGAGAGTCAGTCCTACGAGGAGAGATGGGACGGGACGACGATGGGAAGGGAGGAACGAAGCGTATGGGGTAGCAGGGCAGGATGGAGCAGGCAGGCAGGGTGGACAGGAGGAGGCAGGTCAATGGAGCAGGCGTGACAGGCAGGGCAGGACACAGTAGGTAGGGCAATCGGGGAGAAATAAAGACAGAGAATCGCTTGGTAAGGCACATTAGAAATAATGGCAGCAATACTTGGCACTGAGCTTCTGGGCTCGACAGCTTAAGAAGTGAAGCGATTAGCTGACAAATGTCTGCAGGTACTTGGTCCCGCCTGTTTGGGTGTGACAGATTTCAACTTTTTATTTATTTATTTTTCTTCCAGAAAAGAGGATATTACACTCTGATACCAGTTTTATTTTAATATTGTTATACTCACTTAATATTGTTCTGCTGTATAGTAGAGTAAATACTGTACATGGGCTGGACTTTACACACTTTCACAGCAGAGGATCCTAAGTGACGTTTCCTCAGGTTGAATTACACCCAATAAAATACACTTTTATCTTGGGTACCTGCTGCATGGGCCCCTTCCTGTGTCACATCAGCCGCCTGTCAGCTATGAGAGAGGAATCACTCCTGTAATCAGCTCTCACTGTACTGTACAGATNCCTGTCAGCTATGAGAGAGGAATCACTCCTGTAATCAGCTCTCACTGTACTGTACAGATCTGTGTGGACCACAGCGTTTAAAATGTTCATGTGCTAAGGCCTCAAACAGAATTACTGTAAGTTGTGTTGCATCCATATATTTTGTTCCAGTTGACATTTAACTTAATAATTTCTTCAGTTTTAATACAAAACAAACCAGACATCAGCAGGGTGGAATGAGAACTAACACAGCCTGACAGGCCTGCATTAGCTGCTGGGGATGTTCACATCTCCTCCTTTCAGAGTTACTAGTCAGTTTGGGGACACCTGCCAGTAAGATGGCTGACGATTGCAGTGGAAACTGTTTCATTGGTCTTAATATTGTCAATTTACATATAACGTTTACATACTATTTTCACAAACATTGTTAATAATCCAGAGTACCACTAACGATGTACAGGCTGTGTATTTGGTTGTGTCTTAAAATGTTTTCTTTTCCAGGTTGGACAGCTGTAATCTCACAGATAAATGCTGTGAGGTGCTGGCTTCAGCTCTTAGAACAAACTCCTCACACCTGAGAGAGCTGGACCTGAGTGACAATGACCTACAGGATTCAGGAGTGAAGCTGCTCTCTGCTGGACTGGGGGATTCCCAGTGTAAACTGGGGATACTGAGGTCAGTATTACTGCGTATTCCACACTGTAAACTGGAGATACCGATGTCAGTACTACTGGGTATTTAATGTAACTGTAATTTAGGGCTGTCAAGATATCAGATTTTCACCACACCATTATTGTGGCCAAAAGAAGTGATGACATTATTGTGTTATCTGTAGAAACTTTGAACAAAACAATTATAATGATGCAAAAACCAGTCAGATTCATCTTTAAATTTGTTTATTGTGTCTTCTCTGTTTTTTTGGCAAATGAGATACATTCAAAATACAAGTGTAGTGAGATGGAGAGTCTGTAACCATGACTGTATAGAAGCACATGTAAAGAACAATTACACCCCCTAGTGGATGGTGGAGGGATAACTAGGGCTAAAGCCTCATTTTGCTCTTACTATTGATTGGTACAGTATGTCCTGCAAACTGGGGTTTATAAGACCCCTGTCTGTTTCACAAAATCCTGTAGTGACACCATTCATTTTTATTTTAACGACATCAGGTTCATTTTAAATGTTATTTACTTTTTCCATTTTATATCTGATCCCACTGATCTGGAGTGAAATTAATATGGCTACAACAAATGCAAAATACACCAACCTTCATGGATCTGTTCAGAGTGAACCAAAGATATAAGTGACTAAAATACAATGTCACTGGATTGTAGCAGGTTATGCTGATAGAAATATAAGCTACCGTATTTTTCGGACCATAAGACGCACCGGACCATAAGACGCACCTAGTTGTAGGGGAGGGAAATGAA